AATTTACTGATTTTTAGGTGATGTCTCTTTAAGAAAAATTACCGTTATTGCTAGAAACGAGTTTGACTTAGACCAAACTTTAGCACTCAAAACACATCTAGATCTTGAATTATTGCAAAAGGTGAGTCCTTATTTAACAGTGCCAAATGAAAAATATATTAAAAATTATTGTAATTATCGCTTTTTTAATTACTCCTGTCTCGTTAAAAAGAGCAGTCCTCCACCGAGCAGGCTTGGGTAACAATGTGTTAGAGTTAATATATTAATAATTTTTAATATATTTTTCATTTGGCACCATGAAACACCACCACCAAACCTACACCACCAGCCATGGCGGTGTACGAGACTTTCGAAGTAATAACCACGCCCATCATCCTGACCATCCTATTAGATCAGATGGTTATCCATAGATGATAGTGAACCACACATCTGAGACGTGGAATACAGAGCCGTCACCCGCTCGGTGTATTATATTCCCCCACAGAAACAGCCATGTACCCGACCAAAGGAGGCCAACGCATGGTCCAAGTCTGGCTATTCTGATACACGGATGCCTCCTAGAAGTCTAAGTCTTATCCCGTAACGTCATGTGTCTCGCTGTGGAGATTTTGACTATCCTTGACTTCCTGCGCTTCTCACTAAACCGTCGCGCGCAGAACGGAAGTCTGGTACATAAGTTACATTTTCCGATATCCAAGGTCGGTTCCTTATCCCTAACCATACCATTCCAATACTCAACAACATTAACCTAGTTTAATGTCGTTGCGGACGGAAAAAAACGTTTCCAGCAATAACGGTAATTTTTCTTAAAGAGACATCACCTAAAAATCAGTAAATTGTGCATCACTTGACGCTGTTTTTTACGCTGATTCTGAATCTGTTATTATTTTTGACAGAAACTGCTTCGGAACCTAAAAAACTCGTTTTTTTTGAAAAACCTATAGCTCCGCCCAGTAACAATTCATGCATCTTTATGCTAACTGTATAGATGCAACGTACCGAGAAGAATATTTTCTGAAAGTTTCATCGCGTTTGGAGTTGAGGAAATTTGGGAAAATGAAAAAAAAAAAAAAACTATACAGCGGTATGTTCCTTGGAAAGCACTTAGCAAAGAAAATCGATTTTTTCCATTCCAATGCGCCCTACAAAAAAAGTTTTTTTACGAGTGGATAGATTGAAAGGTCTAGTTTTAAACCGTGTGCTTTATTTCTAGATATCGTGTTGTGTGTTGATAAAAATAAATTTTCTATCTTCATCATGTTTTTCGACAAAAATTTGCTTAGCGATTTTCTCACTTGTGATGGCACTTAGAAAAAATGTTCCAATGGCAAAAAGATAGCAAGTCATATACTTCAGCAGACGTTCTATCTAAATACTGAAAAATCTCACTTTCGTTTTTTCCCCCAATGCCCAAGTTGTGCTCTGACTCAGTGCTCTTGTTGGAGTTTTTGCCTTTTTCTCGATAGATACCGCCGTAATAGAAAAACCGTTCACAATGACCCAATATTCAAACTTATGTTCCTTTAAACAACTCTTTGTTTATTCGTCAATCTCTTTTCGTTTTTCCTCACAAATCCAATACAACAGATAGGATGGCAAAAGATCAAAAAACGTTTTACAACACAAACTCTCCAAGAGAATACATAAAAACACAGGAAACATACACACACACAAATACACTATGCTGATATTGTTCTGAGTGATTATTCAATCTAATGTTATTTGTTTTTAATCAACTTCTTCGATTGTTGGGCCACTTGCTCCACCTTTGCCTCCACGTCCACCATGACCACCGGCAGCTCCGCCAGCTCCAGGAAATCCGCCTGGCATACCTAGATACAAATAAATACGGTTATAACTCTAGTGTGGGTGAAGTATGAAAGTGTTGCTACTCACCTCCTGGTCCTCCAGCTGCTCCGCCTTCACCCTGGTATAATTTTGTCATAATGGGCGAACAGGTTTTTTCCACTTCTTTTAATTTATGTTCAAACTCTTCCTTTTCAGCTAATTGATTTGCTTCTAACCATTTCAATGCTTCGTCAATGGTCGTTGTTACTTTTGTTTTATCATCGGCACTAATTTTTCCTGCCAATTTATCATCGTTCATTGTTGTTTTCATATTGAAACAATACGATTCCAAACTATTTTTAGCTGTGATACGGTCACGTTGTGTTTCATCTTCTTTCTTGTATTTTTCAGCATCAGACACCATACGTTCAATTTCATCTTTCGATAAACGACCTTTATCATTTGTAATGGTAATTTTATTTTCACGACCAGTCGATTTATCCACTGCCGATACGTTTAATATACCATTGGCATCAATATCAAATGTAACTTCGATTTGTGGGACACCACCTAGAAGCAAACAAATAGAAAGATATTTAGATCGATCGGTTAATAGAGTGAAAAACAAAAGTTTTTTATCAGGGCGAACGTATATAAGAGTATTTTGGATAGCGAAATAACACAGAACTTATTAATTCTCTTCTCTTTTCATAGCATCTCAGAGGTGTGTGTAAAGTAAATTACTCTAATGCTTTACGTATGATTTAAAATATTCAAAATTGACTTACGTGGTGCAGGTGGAATACCGGATAATTCAAAGTTTCCGAGTAAATGATTGTCTTTTGTCATGGATCGTTCACCTTCAAATACTTTAATATCTACACCTGGTTGATTATCTGAATAAGTCGTAAATGTCTGTGTTTGTTTTGTCGGAATTGTTGTATTTCGTTTAATTAGTGGAGTCATAACACCACCGGCTGTTTCAATACCCAATGATAACGGCGCAACATCCAATAACAAAACATCTTTGACTTCCTCGGATTTGTCTCCAGTCAAAATGGCAGCTTGAACAGCAGCACCGTAAGCAACGGCTTCATCCTGAACTCAAAAACAACAATCGTAAACAAAAGTTAAGAATTTTTATTTTTATTTATTTACCGGATTGATTGATTTATTCAATTCTTTACCATTAAAGAAGTCTTGTAATAATTTTTGTACTTTTGGAATACGTGTTGAACCACCAACCAATACGATTTCATGGATATGAGATTTATCCTATTAAGAGAGTGAATCATTAGTGAACAATATACAATATGTTTTATATTTTATCTTACCATTTTAGCATCACGTAAAGCTTTTTCAACTGGTTCCAAGGTCGAACGAAATAAATCAGCGTTTAATTCTTCAAATCGAGCACGTGTAATGGTGGAATAAAAGTCAATGCCTTCATGTAATGAATCAATTTCGATTGATGCTTGAGATGAAGAGGACAATGTTCTCTAGAAACAAAAATGAAATGGAATTAAAACTGATTTCTTTCTAAATAAGGCGAAAGTGAACTTAACTACAACTAAATCACACCTATGTAATTGTCCTGGCCTTTTAGACAAAATGGAGTCTCATTACACTCAAAGACATTTTACTTTTAATTACGTCTTATTACTAATATAAGTCACTTTCCTGCTGCTTAAAAGTGTTTATTACCCATTTGAAGGCAACCTTTGGGATAAAAATGCATATATACCTTCGCACGTTCACATGCTGTTCTTAAACGACGGAGACCACGTTTATTTTGTGATAAATCTTTATTGTTTTTTCGTTTAAATTCTTGGACGAAATGTGAAACCATTCGGTTGTCGAAATCTTCTCCTAAGAATAGTTAAAAAAAAGAATATATAAGTAACAATCATTAAATGACAAAGCAAACAATAAACATACCTCCTAAATGTGTGTCTCCAGCTGTTGATTTTACTTCGAATATTCCTTCTTCGATTTTTAAAACACTAACATCAAATGTGCCACCTCCCAAGTCAAAAATCAAGATGTTTCGTTCTCCAGTGACTTTTTTATCCAAACCATAGGCGATGGCAGCAGCTGTAGGTTCATTAATAATACGAAGAACGTTAAGACCAGCAATAACTCCAGCATCTTTAGTAGCTTGACGTTGAGAATCATTGAAGTAGGCTGGTACAGTAATAACAGCATCAGTAATTTTTTTTCCTGGAAAGAAAACAACGTAAACTATATATTATAAGAAAAAAAAATCAATATATACCTAAATAAGCTTCGGCT